AGTTGGCTGAGCCCACAGTCTCTTCCTTAGTTGATGCCCACATGCTGGGCCTGCGCTCCAACTTCCCTCCTTCCACAAACGAGGCAGGCAGGAGCCCGTCTGTTCCAGGGATGCCACCTGTGCTTGGCATTGGCACTAACATCCACGTGTTCCTCTCCAGGTCCAGAAGGTGATGCCCCCAGACAGTTTCTATTTCTCCATCGTGCGGGATCCAGCTTCCTTGGCTGAATCCGCTTTCTCCTATTACCGGGGGGTGGTTCCTGCCTTCCGCCGTGCTCGCTCGCTGCACGAGTTCCTGGCTTCCCCGCAGAACTTCTACCGGCCTGGTGAGCGTGGCAGCCACTATGCCCGCAACCTGCTGTGGTTTGATTTTGGCCTCGATCCACCAGCGAGCCCCGGATCCGCTGCGATCCGCGCTGCCCTGCTGGGCCTGGACCGCATTTTCCACCTCGTGCTGCTCACAGAATACATGGATGAGTCGCTGGTCCTCCTGCGCAGCGCCCTCTGCTGGAGCTTTGCGGACGTGGTGGCTTTCCAGCACAACCTGCGCAATCCGGCGGCAGTTCACCAGCTGGGGCCTGCCGACGCAGCTCGGCTCCGGGCTTGGAATCATCTGGACTGGCACCTCTACGCTCATTTCAATCGCACCTTCTGGGCACGTGTGGAACACTTCGGCAGTGCCCGCATGGCTAGGGAAGTGGCTATTCTCCGGGAGCAGCGGGCAGAGCTAACTCGGCGCTGTTTACAGGGCGGGGGGCCGCTGGAGCCAGGCCGCATTGCTGATGAGCGCATCCGCCCCTTCCAGTTTGGGCAGGTGCCAATCCTGGGCTATGTTCTACAGCCCAGCCTGGCATCTGGCCTCCAGGTAGTGTGTCAGCGGATGGTCACTCCTGAACTCCAGTACAAGGACCTCCTGGATGCCAAGCAGTTTCCCCATGCCTACAAGGCGATGGGTCTCAGACGGGGAGGGGAGGCAGCCCGCAACAACTCTTGGCAGCAGCCACCCAATTGACATGGCCCTCGTGCTCTGCCAGACTCCCCCCAGAATGCCGCAGGCAGAGGGACCATATGGGAACTGCAGGGACGCGTGATGCCAGGCCAGTCAAAAGCCATGAAGATTTCCACGTTTTGAAATGCAAAAGGCTATCAATTCTTTCAAACAGCTTGAGACTGTTGAAGACTCCAAGACATACAGGGCTATGCACCCTCTCGGAAACCAGGCACGCCCAGCAGCTTGATGATGGGAGCTTCCATAATTGGCGATGCCCGAGGAGGAGCTAGTTGGAGGATTTCTTTTGACTGGCCAGGGAGAGCGTGAACACTCCCCCTTGGCTAACAATCTCTGGCCGTTCACTCAGTTTTACCCCCCCCACCCCCCGACAAGGCATCCTCTCAAAGCCTGGCAGCCCGGCGTTCTTAGGGTGGCGCGGTTGGCGTGCAGAGAGCCCTCGGACTGCCTAGTTCCATCCTTTGGCCCCCGTGCGCCTGCTGTCTGGCCATGGAGTGCTGCTCTCCCCCACTGCTGCCCCCGTCTCACCCACAGAGGCAGCGGGGTTCATACCAGGAAGGCTGGGGAGTCACCGCTGTCCATGGGCCTCCCCGGCCCCTCTCTCTGGTGGCCGCCGCCTCTTCTGAACCAAAGGCTTCCCAGGCAGGGACCCCCTGGCAGCACAAGCAACTGGGCAGCGGGGCCACATTTTGGAACCCTGAGCCCAGGGTGGAGTTGGGCCCACAGCCCAAGGAGCTGTGGAGGCTCTGCTGGCAGACGTGAGGAGGGAATGAAGCTGTGCAACCACCGAACTTGACGAGGATGCCAGCAAGACGCACAACCGACCCATGATGGGTTAGGGTTACGGTTAGCGTTGCCCTCTTTGAACAGACGGCGAGGAAACAGTCATTGTTTTAATAATTAATCAATTGTTGAGAGTCATGTGAGCCAATCTGAAGGGCTTAATTTATGGAGAGTTTCCTATACAAACTAATAAAACTGCGACACATAAAAAGCACCCTGAGATGTTGAGAGGCCCCTTCAGACTGTGAGACCCTATAATTTGCTTAGCTTTGCCTGCCTAAATCCAGCCCCACCTCAGCCAAGCCAGCAGTCCTGCCAGGCAGCCCAAGGGGGACTTCAGGGCAGCAACCTGTGGACAGGAGCAGAAGGGAGGGCGAGGCGGCACAGATGACCTGCTTATGGGCTTAATCCTGCCGGGGCATCGAGGCTAAGTCGGGCGCAGGGATTAGGCAGGCTTTGCTCTGTCCAGCACAGATTGCTTCTCTTTTTAGCCTGAACAAAAGATCCTGGAGAAAAAACACACAACCTTCCCCCTCGCTGCCTGGTCCCAGGAGGATGGGAAGAGGGGCGGCACCGTAGCCCAGCCATCCCTTGGCATGAGCGTCAGTAGTCTGGCTGCCACTTGGCAAAAAGAAAAACCAAGATTTTGCTGCCCCTGAAGAGCGAAGTTCAACTGTGCAGAAGGGTGGGGCAAAGAAATAGCCATCATCCCACACAATCCTGGGAAGCGAGCCATGGGTGTTCCCAGTAACCATTAGCAGAGTCCGGCTGCTGGTGTGGTGCTTCAGAAGCTCCCATCTCCAGTCTCTTCCCATGCTGCAAGGGCTGACTCATCTTCACCCGTTACCCTCTATCTACAACAACAGGTTGCAGGACTGTGGCATGGAGTGCTGAAAGGAGGACTGGTCTGAACACTCTTAAGTGATGCATGCTTAACTCTTGGGGAGAAAGAATCACGTGTGTGCATAACTCTCCAGCTGCAGAAACCTAAGAACCGTGTCATCTCTTGGTCTTCCTGCTGGATGGGGAGGCAGGCCCATGGCTGGGGCTGGAAGCTGAACCATCTTTGGGATCATCCAGATTGCCCAGATCCTGACAAACCCGGACTCCTCCCTGGCACCAGTGAAACAACAAGAACCTCAGGGTCATCAACTCTGCTGCTACAATAGCTCAGATTCGCAGCTTGCTCTGGGCCCTTTGATTTTTATTGCCCCTAATAGCCAGGTCAACCCAAAAGCCAGGCCGGCACTAGCCGCCTCTGGTACAATCTGTGTTCACACTGTGGAGCTCTCAAATTGCAATGGCTCTTTCCAGCATTTTGGGCCAGGATGCAGTTTAGATTTTTTTTTCCTTGTATAATCTTGTTACTGTGTTAACTTTCAAAAAGGAGAATATCAGTTTAAAAAATTAAACCACATCAATTGATTGGTATAGTCTGAGTCCTACTTGTTTTGTGTTCCTAACGCACCTTTTACCCTTAGATGCTACTCTCCAGAGAGGGACGTTTCTCAAGAATGAATTCTGCTTTTACGAAATGCCAATGCCCAGAGGAGTGACATGCTGGTGGCAGGACAGGTCTCTTTTGGCTTTGCCTTCCTCCTATCCAGGTGCATGGGACTAGCTGGTACTTTCTCACTGCCGCCGCCCTTCTCCCTGAGGAACCCTAACCCTAACGTCGTAGTGGATTCTGCAGTGAGCAACACTTGGACTAGAAGACCTCTAAAGTCCATCCCAACCCTTGGATTCTGTGATTCACTTCTTCACTTCTAAGATTGCAAAGGCTCCTTGGCTCAGAGACAAGATGGGAAACTGGAAAATTCATTCTTTGAATTGGATGGGATTTCTGTTCCCTTCATGGCTCAAACAGTGATGCCTCCCTATCCCAAGGTCATGAATGGGTACCTACAGTGGTGCTTTAAAGTTTGTGAATCCGTTTGAATTTTCAGTATTTCTGCCAAAATATGACTTCAGATATCATCTGTACTCCACAGAAGTCCTAACACCAGATGAAGCAAACTCAATCCCTGTGACCCTCTGTGGGAGCAAAAGTTGGACTTTGTAGAAGCAGGATAGGAAGAGTAGTAATGCTTTTGAATGTTGGTGTTGGAGAAGACACCTGAGAAGACCATGGACAGAAGAGGATGACCAGCAGCAGGGTGGAGGGTGGCAAGGAGTGCACCGTTGGGAGACTTGGAAGAACAGGTTAGCGATAGATCGTCATGGGGAAAATCTATCTATGTGGTCGCTAGGAGTAGAAAACAAGTTGATGGCACATAAATTAAACAAATGAGTCAAAAACATTATACCTGTTCATTTATTTATTGAGGAAAATGATCCAAAGCTACATATCTGTGTGTGGCAAAAGTAGGTGAACCACTACGATTTGAAGGGGAAGTTAGAGTCAGGTGTTTCAGTCAATGAGATGATAATCAGGCATGAGTGTGGGAGGTCCTGCCTTATTAAAAAAAAAAAGAAATCTGGGTGTTTGCTATCAAAGTCTGATCTTCACAACACAGATATGTGGAAGCATGTCATGGTTTGAATAAAGGAGATTTCTGAGGACCTCTGCAAAACAGTTGTTGATGTTCACCAGACTGGAAAAGGTTACAAAACTATTTCCAAAAAAGTTTGGATTCCACCAGTGCACCGTCAGGCAGATTGTGTGCAAATGGAGGCAATTCAACAGCATTGTTACCCTCCCCGGAAGTGGTCGGCCACCCCAGATCACACCAAGAGTGAGGCATATACTACTCTGGTAAGTCTCAACTTCAGGGTAACATCTAAGGAACTAGAGGCCTACTGCATTGGTAAATGTCAGTGTTCATGAGACCAGAATCAGGAGAACACTGAACAACAACGGTGTGCATGGCAGAGTTGCAAGGAGAAAGCCATGATTCTCCAAAAGGAACACTGCTTCCCCTCTACGGTTTGCAAAAGACCACATAGATAAGCCAGGTGGCTATTGAAAGAATATTCTGTGGGTGGATGAGACCAAAATAGAACTTTTTGGCTTGAATGAAAAGGGTTATGTTTGGCGAAAATCAAACACTACATTTCAGCATAAGAACCTTATCCCAGTTGAGAAACATGGTGGCAGCAGTATCACAACGTGGGCCTGCTTTGCTGCCTCTGGACCAGGATGGCTTGCCATCATTGATGGAACCATGAATTCTGAATTGGACCCCAGTTTAGCAACAAGTTCCATTCCCAAGGTCTGTCCATAAGTTGAATTTGTACGTAAGCCAGAACAGTATTATACAATAATACTGTATAAGTAGTATTGCATAACGAAGTCGAACCATTGTGTCTTTAACTTGAATCACTGTGTATTTAACTTGACTTTTGCTACCATAGGCTCCGTTCTTAACTATAGGTCATCCTTAAACCGGGGACCACTTTGACCAGCAAATGCTACAGGAAAACGGCTGTGAGCCCAAAACGTCCAAAGAATGGTTAAGGCAGAAGGAAGTTCATGCTTG